AAAGTCTGTTACTATTCGTGTTGTTGTTGTTGCTTTTTTTCCAAATACAAATTTTTAAGAAAATCTTAATACGTACATTATTCTTTCATTCATTCATTCTTTCATTCTTTATTTGCGATATATACAAAATTTTATAATGCAAGATGGAAATAATATGAGATTAAAGAAAAAGTAAATGGCGAGGAGACCTGAAAGAAACCACGAGGCTTATAATGAGTCAGGTCTCCTCAACTTATGATAAACTAGTCTTGATATAATAACTACAATATGGGCTTATGATGGCTAACTTTGACCGCGGACTCACACACACACACACACACACATGTTAATTTAATTAATCTAATAATCTAATTAGAGCCATACTGAAGCTAATAGATACTAAGAAGGAATTCTTTAAGCTTTCTTTTAAAAGAAGCGGAGGAGGACGAACCAGTCAAAGTAGTATTCAACGAATTATAAAACTTTAGATCTTGGAAATAAATTGAGAACTGCCTAGTGTTCGTTCTGCATAGTGGCAAGCGAAATGAGTGGGCATTCCTAGTATAATAATTATGGATTTGACTGTTTATTAGGAAGAGGTTATTGAATCTGGAAGGGAGTGTAGAGTCCTTGAGTGAAAACATAAAAAACCTAATTGAAACGAATGGATATCCTGAAATTTTAAAAGTTTAAGCTCCTTAAAGATGGGACCAGTGTTGGCATGTTAGGTAGAGTTGTTCTTAGCGCACGTTTCTGTAAGATTACAATTCTTCAAGGTTCGCTTTATAGGTGCCACCCCAAGCTAGATTGCAATAGTATAAGTATGGAAGTATCATTCAATTGTACAAGGTACGGAGAGATTGATTTGAGAGAAAAACCTAGATTTATAAATGATTCCTATGGATTTTGATAATTTACTGGCTAATAGAGATATGTGAGGTTTTCAGGTCAGATTATCATCTAAAACGACACCCAAGAACATGGTTTCAGAAACACGAAGGATAGACTGCTCGTTTATAGAAACTTGAAATTCAAACGATGGCTTTTTTTTACCAAGGCTTGAATACCATAAAATTAGTCTTGGATAACTTCAAGGAAAGCCGGTTTGCGGCAAACCAGGTTGACATTTGTTTAATTCTCTTTTTAACGTATTAATTAGGTAAACAGGATCCTTGTGAGAGATAAATAGGTTTGTATCATCAGCAAACAAAATTGCATCAAGCATGGAAGTGTTGTTCAAATCATTAACATACAGGATAAAAATAAAGGACCAAGAGTATAGCCTTGAGGCACCCCACAGGAAATCCCCTTGGGGAAGACCCAACATTCTTAAATTCGACAAATTGTTTCATCTCAGAGAAATAACTTTTTACCCATTCTAGTGCCAGACCACGGATCCCATAATGCTCGAGTTTGTCAAAAAGGGTGACATGATTTACCGTGTCGAATGCTTTCGAAAGATCTAAAAATACTCCAATAGCAAGTTCTCTTCTATCAAAAGCAGAAGAAATTTTGCCACTCAAATCGATAAGCGCGAGGCTAGGGGAACGATTTTTTCTAAAGCCATATTGATTATCACAAAGGACATTGAAGTCATTGAGATAATTTATGATACGGTTGTAAATTATTCGCTCCAAAAACTTTGAAAAGCAAGGTAGAACTGAAATAGGTCTGTAACTACTGAAGAGAGCTTTGTCACCTGATTTAAAAATAGGAACCACAAGAGCAATTTTTCAATTCATTCGGAACGATGCCGTGAATAATAGAGAGGTTTACAATGTGTGTTAAGGGAGAGGAAATGCTGCTAATTGATCGTTTCCTAATAGACATGGGAATGTTGTCATACCCTGCCGATTTTCCCGCCGGAAACTTACATGCAATATCTACAATCACCTCCTGAGTTGCTAAATTTAAGAACATAGACTGAGGGAAATTATGCGAAGTGGCAGATTGAATCCGTTTGGCAACGTTTGGTCCAGTATTACCGAAGTAATAACAAAATCGATTTGCCATCTCCATTGGGTCAGAAATTTCCTGGTCATCAACCTTGAAAACAGAGTTGGGTTTGGGTCTCAATTTCTTGTTATTTAGAACCGCACTAAGCAGACACCAAGTGGCTGTCATATTAGATTTTGACTCGTTTATCTTCTTGTCGTAATATAAGCGTTTCGCAATTCGTAAGGAGTTATTAATTTGTTCTTATATCTTTTATATACCAGTTCCTTTTGAGGAATGGAGTACAACTGTTTAGTTTAGAAGGAACGCATCTGAGAGATATTGATGCTAACAACCTGACTAGTTCCATTTCAGTAGGTTTGATAACCTGGTCGTATGTGACTATGATAAAGTAAGGCTCCAGATTTTTAATCCTGACGGGGAGTTTGTAAGCAGAATAGAAAGAGAAGACATTGAGCTTAGTAATCCTTGTTTTGTCGCTGTTTCAAGCACCGAACGGCTGTTTGTCATTGATTTAGCCAGATACTGTGTGCACGTTTTTCATTGAGGAACGAATTCTCTCAGTTTGCTAATGCGGAAAATACTCTAATATTCTTTAAACTGCAGTTAGGGTGGTGCTTCATGTAAACCAACGATATTGCAAAAGTCGGGTTTACATGTGATTATGATAAAGCAAGGCTCCAGATTTTTAATCCTGACGGGGAGTTTGTAAGCAGAATAGAAGGAGAAGACATTGAGCTTAGTAATCCTTGTTTTGTCGCTGTTTCAAGCACCGAACGGCTGTTTGTCATTGATTTAGCCAGATACTGTGTGCACGTTTTTCATTGAGGAACGAATTCTCTCAGTTTGCTAATGCGGAAAATACTCTAATATTCTTTAAACTGCAGTTAGGGTGGTGCTTCATGTAAACCAACGATATTGCAAAAGTCGGGTTTACATGATTAATGCGGCAGCATTTTGATGAATATTATAATCAGAGTGTTAGACGTGAATTTACTTATAAGTGTATTGGCTGTTTCCTAGTTTGTGGCTGAAACGTCCCATGACATTTTACTCCTTCATTCCATAGTTAATTCAATATTAACTGATCGTTCTTACCTTTGAGAATGCCATCAAGTCTTTTGCTATACACCACTCAAATAAAACTTCTCCAGCGGTACTCGTGCATAGTACTGTGTATTCTTCCTATATATAGAATGATGTGAATGCTACGCGCGCTGTGATTGGTCGTTGCCCATGATCTATTAGAGTACAGATACATGGATGACGTCACGGGAAACTTGTTTTCTTTGTTTTGTTCAACATGGCACGCGGTTTTGAAAATGTTTGTGAGATTATTTCGGATTGAGGCAAGTGAAAGCTTCGGAAAAAGTTTAGCAGGAGCTATTTACAAAGAAGAAAAATGGAGAAACGGAGACCAAAAAAGCTATTGACTACTTGACAATGCCTAAACTACAAGAAATCTTCACAACAGTTGCCATCGTGTGTCTTCGCTACGAGAGACTCGCTGTTTTGCAAAATGTTTTCGCAATTATTCTTCTTTGAGCAAGAAAAGACGGTAAAAAACTTTTCGAAGAAACTGTACACAAGTAAGATAAAGAAGAAGCTGAGATGAAAAGTTGGGTTTGGGACTTAAAAAATGCCTAAACTAGCACAAATCCTCAAAAGGTCGAGCGGTTCGAGGCAGGTATGTGTATCGGTCTTTTTCTTTTCTGATCATTGTACAAAACAAATAGATTCCATGTTGCCGTAGGTCTGTTCAGTAATAGATCACAGAGGACGTCAAAATGTGGTGAAAACAACAGTGACACACTCGCCTGCGGCTCGTGTGCCACTTCTTGTTTTTACGACATTTTGACGTCATCTGTGATCTATTATTGAACAGACGCACGGCAACATGGAATCTATTTGTTAAATATATATCTTTCCATTTGGATGTTGTAAATAGGTAAAAGACACTTCCTTTTATTGTTGTTTTTTTGTATTGCCCGATTAGGAAGACAGGAACACCTTTCATAACAACACAAAAGAAAACATGATACTGCTAGAGCCCCAAGGCCCTATACTGCAATGTTAAATGTTGCTTGATTTTGCTAATATAACTAATTATTAGGTAATAGCACCTAAAGAAGGCCACTCTCAGTAGAAAACAGCTTTTATTTTGACTAGATAAATTCACCTGTCCAGGAAATAACGGATTAGTTTGGAGATTGGAATCTGGATCCCTGATCATGTGACATGATTACATTTAACTTAACGACTCTCCCGGTTTATATAGGAATAGATATATTTATCTCTTGACGTAAATCGCTCCAATCTTTGCCCCGTTTAAACCAATCACCAACTCTCGAAAATTTCAGCTTTTAGATGGAAGATGTTGTTATCCGGTGTATGAGGTTCATGACTGGATTATTCTCTTCCCGGGCCGTTTCGAATAAAAATAACGTCGATCTAAGGATATTCACTCTATTTTCTTGTTTATCACAAAGAAAAGAAAAGAAAAGAAAGAGGGAATGAAAGAAACAGCAACTATTAGTGGGTGCAGAGACAGGACTTTTATTCAATTAATATCTGACTGATTTCGCCCAAAAGTGAATGCGACCATCGTTCGTTTTACACTTCTTCACCTCATTCTCCAGGGGCACCCAACGAATCTGTTCCTCACTTTATCTGTTCCCCATAGGAATCTTGCTGGCTGGCAAAATATTAGGTGTTCTAATGAGCTGGCTGGGAAATTTCTTATTGTTAGAGGCTTTGGCTGGGAATTACTGACTTTTCTAGCATTTCAAGCCGGGCTGGCTGAGAAACTCTGAAGACCGAGGACGACTGAAAAAAAGTATCCCTTCCCTCCCCCGAGAGTAGTGACAAACATTTGACGGCTGGCCAGAGAGATCGCGTTTGCGGAAAAAACCGGTTTTGTGTCGGTTATTTTTGCGAGGGATTTCAAAGCGCGCGGATGTCTGCACATGTACAGATCGAAGAACTTTCCTCATTTACATGTAAGATTAATTCCCATTGTTATTTTATCTGTATGCTTAAGTTCTCGTGATGTTCTTCTACACTGAATTGAGACGAATCGAGTGAATCTAACAGCAGTAATTTGTATTTTCATTCACAGATTTAAGTTTCGGCGCCCTGTAGTGTGTGTTCAGCGTTTTACAGTTGAAGCGAACTGAGCCAACAAATTTTAAAAACTGACAGCAGTATTTTTTGTTTACAGTTAGGCCGTGTAGGCAGCCACCGGATCGAGTAGGTGTTTCCTCACACACAAGGTTAGAATCAAGAAAAATTCGTACTTATTTTAATGCAAGTTATTTCGCTAAAAAAAAAAAACGGTTTGTTTCTCTGGACAACTCCAGCAAAGCCTCTGTTTTTTGTGTTAACATAGAAACCAGCCTTTGTATATGTAGCCAGAAGGCAGATAACAAACATACACTGACAAATAATAAGAGCTGTGTCACGCTTTTAGCTTGCTTTTCATAAGCTAAAATTCTCAGCCAAAAAAAAAGGAAACCCCAATTAACGACTTCAGTTGAAAAAATGGACATTGTCAACTTGCACGTGAGGAACCCACTTGCACGTGAGGATGGGAAAAGACGGCTTGGATGCAAATGGATTAAAATATGAATTACTATGGTGTTAACTATAGTTTTTCTTTTCTCTGACTAAGCAAATTTTGTTGGTTCTGGCCAGACTGTGGTTTTATTTGTCAGAATGCATCTGATGCTCAGCTGTTTTGTATTGGATTGAGTACTTAATTAAGACATTAATACTATTGTTCATACAATGTATGTGTCAGTAATAACTACTGATCAATCAACACATACATTGACAGTAAAAATTAATTGTTATTGTGACCAATTCAACAGCACTAAATTTTTTTACTTGGCAGATTGTTTACTTCTCCTCTTCAACAATCTTTAGTCATACTCTGTCTCTGTACAAAACAAAGCTAAGTTAGGATTGTGACGATGAGCATTCACTGTTTGTTCATTCTTACGACCCTCTCTCTTCCATTGGATTGAGTTATTCTTGTGACAATGGGGATTCAATGTTTGTTCATTCTTACGACCCTCTTTCTTCGGAGTATTTTCGTGTTACAGAAATGTCACAGATCTATTGTTCGTTCTTTATTGTTCTTTGTTCAAGTGGCTTATTGTATTCTATTGTTATCTGTTGTTTTAGAAACTTTGTGAACCGGTACACCAGGAAACTGCCCTTTCTTCCATCAAATTGGGTTAGGCTTGTGATGATGGGCATTCACTGTTTGTTCATTCTTACGACCCTCTCTCTTCCATCAGGTTGAGTTAGGCTTGTGACGATGGGCATTCACTGTTTGTTCATTCTTACGACCCTTTCTCTTCCATCAGGTTGGGTTAGGCTTGTGACGATGGGCATTCACTGTTTGTTCATTCTTACGACCCTCTCTCTTCCATCAGGTTGAGTTAGGCTTGTGACGATGGGCATTCACTGTTTGTCCATTCTTACGACCCTCTCTCTTCCATCAGGTTGATTTAGGCTTGTGACGATGGGCATTCACTGTTTGTCCATTCTTACGACCCTCTCTCTTCCATCAGGTTGAGTTAGGCTTGTGACGATGGGCATTCACTGTTTGTTCATTCTTACGACCCTCTCTCTTCCATCAGGTTGGGTTAGGCTTGTGACGATGGGCATTCACTGTTTGTTCATTCTTACGACCCTCTCTCTTCCATTCGGTTGAGTTAGGCTTGTGATGATGGGCATTCACTGTTTGTTCGTTCTTACGACCCTCTCTCTTCCATCAGGTTGGGTTAGGCTTGTGACGATGGGCATTCACTGTTTGTTCATTCTTACGACCCTCTCTCTTCCATCAGGTTGATTTAGGCTTGTGACGATGGGCATTCACTGTTTGTTCATTCTTACGACCCTCTCTCTTCCACCAGGTTGATTTAGGCTTGTGACGATGGGCATTCACTGTTTGTTCATTCTTACGACCCTCTCTCTTCCATCAGGTTGATTTAGGCTTGTGACGATGGGCATTCACTGTTTGTTCATTCTTACGACCCTCTCTCTTCCATCAGGTTGATTTAGGCTTGTGACGATGGGCATTCACTGTTTGTTCATTCTTACGACCCTCTCTCTTCCACCAGGTTGATTTAGGCTTGTGACGATGGGCATTCACTGTTTGTTCATTCTTACGACCCTCTCTCTTCCATCAGGTTGATTTAGGCTTGTGACGATGGGCATTCATTGTTTGTTCATTCTTACGACCCTCTCTCTTCCACCAGGTTGGGTTAGTCTTGTGACTTTGGGTATTCTTTTTTTGTTCATTCTTATATGACCCTCTCTCTTCCATCTGGTTGAGTTAGGGATTTCATGGTTTGTGCTGAGAACTTTGCTTCCTTTGTGGCCCTCTATTCAGTTGTCTATTAAGTTTCCCTTTTCCTTTAATGTGAATGGACGCACATCCATGTCATTGGGAGGAAGATGCTTAACAGTTTGTCCAATCATGGTAACATTTTAAATTTTGATAAAATGAAAAAATATTTGTAGCGTGGAGAAATTCATTCATTTGGACCAGTTCAACTGCTAGACCTAATTATGGCCTGCAGAAATTTTACTGATCTTGTTATCCATCCATTTCAGTATTCTGGTATTGTGTGGAGGAAATTTATAAATAATGACTGTCATATTAGGCGAATCAAGGAATTTTTTTTATTTTTCAGTTGATGTGGAAAGATATACAATATAGCTAAATTGGTTGACTGCAGCACCATGATAACAAATAGATTGCTACCTCAACCTTTTTTTTGTTGTTGTTTGGCGCAGACATTCATGATAAATAAATATGTTTCAACTTAAGCGTAAGGTTTCTACACTTAAAAATTTAAAGGGGTGGAGTCTACTTTTTACAAATACCACCAATCACAGGACGCCCACATAAAGTGGGTAACCCTTGGTATTATTGAATTTAGAAGAAATGCATGAGAATTGCAAAAAGTTCCATAAGATTATACTATTCTGCAATGAATATTTACATGTCAAATGAGAATAAACTAACCTTCAATTTCAAGGACTTGCATTGCTCAGGAAAAAAATCACTAAAATTTGCCATTTCCAGCCATACAATGTAACAACAACAGCACTTCATTTCAGATAAAGGTTGGTTTATCCTCATCTTATATGAAAATATAATATTGATCACAGAATAGTACAGTAATAATTATGGAACTTTTGCTATTCTCATACATTGCTTCTGAATTCAATAATACCAAGGGTCACGCACTTTTGTGTGTGCCCCTGTGATAACAATAGCTTTGATTAGTAAGGCTATAACTAGATCTGAAAACATCACACTCAATCAGTATTGCTGCTGGCTGTAGTCAATTAACTTTTGTCTCTTATTTTTCCTTTTTAATATTATTTTTCAGGCTGTGGAAATAGCAAGGAACTGGGGATTACCTTGGTTTATCCTAGCAAGTATGTTAAACAATTGCCATGTGTACAATGCTGCTAGGTGTTATGAATTCTGCGCTCACTTTCCAGTGTCACTAAAGTCTCCTAAAATTTAGACTGCTCCAGACAGCAGTACATTTAGAGTATCATATACTAACACAAGAATTACAGCTGTTTGTCAAAAAAAAAAAACAGAATGACACGCAAATAGCAGGCTATTGCAACAACACTTTGCGAAGAACTGCAAGCAAGCAACTGCTTCACGAGGTGCCCCTGCTAGAGGCATCGGGCCACCGCCCGTATAGCAGCAGGAAAAAAACTGCAAACCAGCATTGTTTCGAGGTTAACTTTGCCTAAATTACATTTAGCCACATTAATATAAGTATTGTTATTGTTATCATCATTATTATTCCTTTCATTTATATTAATTAATTTAATTCCTGGCTGGGAAATAAATTTGATCAGCTGGCTGGGAAACCAACCAATTTTATCTAGCTGGCTGGGAAATTTCTTGTGTGTCTTGCTGGGAAAAAGGAACAGATAATATTTTCCCAGCAACACTGAAAAACACGTGAAGATGCCTTAATAACATTTATTTTCATTAATGGGGGTATAATAATACATTTTACAACAAATTGGTCGTTGGGTGCCCCTGATTCTCTCTATTCTCTTTTCCTCGTTATTTTGCGGTTTTATTTTTGAGAGTGTAGGTATTACAAAACCCGCATTTGGGCTTTTTCCCGGGTTATGGTTGCAATTTTCGGTAGTTACATTTTAGACTTGATTTGTACAAGATGTACTTTTTTTTTATTTTTTCTCCTGTTACTTTTAAATCTGCAAGCCATATGAGACATTTTGCAAGACCCAACTACAGTGGAACCTGCCAAGGCACAGGGGAAATATATCGAGAGTCCGTTCTATCGAACACCTCCATTTAACGAATTTTCGGGAAAACTACCTAAATGTTCGTTATATCGAGGTATAGTTAAAGAGAGAGTTTAACTAGCAAAGAAAAAAAAAGTATGTTGGACGATATACGTCTTTGGCGATCCCATTAAAACTTTTGCAACATTTTTTGTTGTCTACTTAAAACTACAGAAAACAGTTAACAGTTTGAAAACTGGCCTATTAGTTCTCCTTAGTTAAGCTCATTGTAATACTGCTTCAATTTGAAATAGCTTACAGGTCTTGAAGTTTCGTCAAAAGGTCTTCGGTAAAGCTGGCAGTAGCCTGCAGGAGATCGACCGATGCTTATTTCTTCAGTAGAGGCGGACTTACACTCGGTCATACGAGAACAGCGTAACAAACACTCCATCACTGTAGACGCTTTGGATGTTTTTACGACATCGCTTTGTAGCTGTTCTCCGACAGCGAAGACTGGTTGGAAAAATCTTTGATCTACAAATGACAAAGTAAAGAGATTGCTTCCTTAAAATTTTAATTTAGGGTTCGGGTCATCAGCTTTGCCATAAACATTCATGTTTTAGCAATTCGCCCGGCTTTTCCCTTTGCTCGAGCCACCTCGCTGTTTTTCCTACTGACTTCATTTTAGGCGGACCCCCCACTATCTGAACGCCTTGTACAGGCTCTCCAAGGTTTGATCGAGGTCCTCTTCAAAGACGACACGACACCTTACATGTCTTATTGAACATGGTACTTGTGCAAGCAAAGCATCATAGTCATCTAAGGAAACTCATAAGATGACCACGGAATGATAACACAAGGAAGTCGGGCAAAAAAATGTAAACATCTACTGTAAAACTTCACTTGTATTGCGTTATAAACCGTCGCTTAAGACATTCACTTCCCTCGCTTCAATTCGACCTTGGATAAGTTAACTGAAAAGAGGTCTAGTAATAAACCCCGACTGAAAGAGACTAGGCACTATCCAGTCACATGTTTCATTTAGAGCAGTTTACTACGACACGTCATACTTACATGTGTTCAAAGTTCTGTTTTGAACCGCTATAATTTCCTTTTGGCTGAGCGATTTATTGTAAATCTGAAGACAGCAGATGCGACCTTTTAAGTATCTTCGGTCGGTGGTGCTTGCTTTAGCTCCCACCCTTACATCATACTGTGTGCTTTGTTCTTCGCCTCCGGATATCTCATGAGCCACTTCAGATCCATTTATCCAAAGCTTTACGACGCCAGATGAAAAATTGTAAGAGGTACCAACATAGTTCCAGGTTCCAGGTTCCAGGCTGGAAGAAACAGCATATTTTGGAAGTGCTCTATCTGCACGTCTTGATGGTCTAGCAAACAACCTTCCATTTACAACCCAGAAGTGAAATCCCCAGACATTAGATCCGAAGTTAACAATCGGTCCATCATCGTTTTGTTGGTTAAGCCAGGCAAGAATTGTTATGGAGTATCTTGTGTCCAGGCCTCCGTTGTTGGGTATCTCGATGTAACTGCCAAAGCTACCAGAAAACTGGTACGAGCCTTGTGGATGTCCAAAGGGGCCTGGTGCAAGGTGTACGCCGTTTGGTTTTCCCGGTTGGTTTTTGTTGGGACTGATGTCGTGTGTCAAATGTTGAGCATTGAGTGGATAAAAGGCCGTAGGAACTGGAAGATCGTCTGCCAGTAGAATTAATCATATCGCAATTAATAAACTCACTTTAATCCCCCAATCAATTTTATCGATGTCACCATTTTTTTCTACCTGGTTCTTTTCGCAGGAAAACAGTAATGTCGACGACGCCACAAGGTCAAAAAATGAAGATAAAATGCTCCCCAAATCATATGTGATTAACGGATCACTGAACTGGGGCCTTATGGTTATGCATCTTTTATTTCTTCTCAGTTACTTTGCCTTGGTCCTGATTTATACGCCCCAATCACGCGCCAAGAATCATTAAAACATCATTAATTTGTAACATTCTGGTATTTTCCCCGACACGATCGATCGGAAGCTGTCTGCTTTGACTCGTTGACAGGTCCAGATGTTCAACTACTTGGGATCAAGTACTTGATATCGGGTCCAAGTTGGGGCATTCACGTTCGGTCCGAACCTGATCTTGTGCTGTTTTGGTGTTGTAAATCACTTAAAAAACCCCTTCTAATGTTATCTTATGGTACTGCTCCACCCGTAGTGTAACGTTTCTGCATTCAACCCCTATTACTTGTTTCAATTCTAATGAATAACTCGATCTGTAATGGTAGAGTGTTTTGTCAAAACGATAACCAATAGTTTTGAACGCAGTTACTCAAAGTTTGGTAATGTACGTTCGGATTGATACACACAATCGCGAGTTGAATAGTTTTTATCGAAGTCCCTTGATCGAGGTCAAAAAAGAATTTTCTTTGCCAGGTATGGTCCCTGTTACTGAGGCTAACGATCAGACGAGTTTATGGGTAGTTTGTAGCCCTTGAATTTTAATGTTGTTCCATGATTTGCTCCACAAGGCTACAGAAGAGGACATGTCTTGAATGAATGTGCAATTTTGCGTTTACGGAGTTCGCTTTTCAGTCAAGTATCCGCATCCTTTTGGGTAATAATATTACCATGTAGCAGCTGCCTCGAAAAGAGAATATGCAAATCTAATTTCCGTTAATTCCGATCTGAGTATAACTCCAAAATCAGTTAACATTTTCTAAAAATCAGCGTAAAAAAAACTTTGTAAGAGTCAAATAGCATCAAAAGCTTGTCGAAAATAGCGGCGCCCAAAGCGAAAGGCTCAGTTTAGATGTTAAACTTTTCATTTGCCGAACCTAGTGACTAAAATATAAAAAATATTCGTAAATTTTAAGGAAAGTTGCTTTTAAACGAACTTTGCGGGGGAACTAAGTATGGAATCTGAATACCGAGTGACCTAAATTGTCAAGAAAAGGTCTGTTGAAGTTGGACGGGTTAGAAACTTACCTGTTTTTCCTTGACATGAAAAAATCAGAATGATCCGAAGTGGAAAAACCAATGTCAACAAAGTTGAGGTCATTTCAGCCGAAAAATTTGAGACAGTTTTGTAGCATTTGATCGCCTAACCCTCAGCAGTCGGGATGAATACATAAAAGAAATTTTCATGAACTGCTGTAACACTCTGAAACTCGGTTTAGAAATTTTTACTTCCCGCATTTATTACATTCATTTACATGCAAATGTAAGTCAATCAACTATACAGGGACAATCCCATCTCAGTAAAGACTCTGTAAAATGAGAATGAGAATTATTTTTCTACTGATCAATTATTTATGCCACGAAACACTTTTTTTCTCATATATGTATTTTTATTTATTTTTCAAAATTAGTTTGTGATGTCCATTGAGTATTGTCCTACCCAAGTAAATCAAATTTTGGAAACGAGCTGATTCAGCTTAACATCATAACGAAGGCGTAACAAATCCTAGGCCACTACTAGCTTTAAAACATTCCAGGAATGACCTGATCAAATAAATTCAGTTTGCTGGTAGGTCGGCAAAAAAAGGAGTCGAAATAGGACCATGGCGTCTCTACCAATAGACAACGTCTCATTTAAGGGTTGGAAATAAACACATGCTAAGTTAAATGTTTCTTTTGTATCATCGATGCCTTGGGCATACGAATTAGTATTAACTCAACGCCTGTTTCTTTTTCTGTCGTTAAAAATCATCACAACATTTCCTGCAACAGTCACTTGGAAAACGAAAACATGTTTTGTAAGGCTGATTATCCGGGGGGTCCATTTTTGACTGGAAAGGTTCCACTTTCATAATACTTTCTATTGAAAAATGGTACCCCTTGCAAATAAAAATCAATATAACTAGTTTATAACTTTGCATCCTTTTTAACTACGGCAATAATTCAACACACAATATCACAGAGAAAAGTTAATTATGATTTTTTCATACATTATCGAGCTGCTTGAGAGAATGACTGTTACAGGTTTTGAGGTAGAATAAGAGACAAATGTTAGTTTTCTTTGTTGGTTATTCATTGACAAAGCCCAGCCCAACTTCCATTCAGAGGACATCTGTACTGTCGCAATTTGTAATAATGGTCGCCGTTTGTAATGCCTGTCGCAATTTGTAATAAATTCATCACACTTTGTAATACCTGTCTTCAAAGTTATTTGCATTAATTCCATCGCGCTTTGTACTAATTTTTTGAGAGTGATTCGACTTACTTCGTCAACGTTAACATAATGCCAAAATATGAATGGTACTTTCTAAACAAAGATGGTGACGTCTGTAAGCACGTAACTTACTAAATTACTTTTAAAATTCATATCTCCGCTAATTCCTAAACATTTTTTCTTTTTAATTAATGTTGATTAGTTATCTGACGTACGAAATTCTGTATTCTTAAACCTTGCTATTGTACTAGATGGTTTGCATGCAATGGTTACCTTGGGGGGCGTACTCCCTTATATAGCCAATACGGGGATGTGCCGCTGGACAATGCGTTGTCAGAGTACAGAATCTAGACACACTAGACACAAACGAACCATTATTAAAAGGCATTTAATTTCCACAAATCGTAACATCCATCCTTACATCATTCAAATCTGAGGACACTAGGAAAGCTTTCCTTTTTAGATCTTATATATAACAGGTCGACACAATACCGTCCTTGTCTAACGCGCAATCTTAAAAGAAGTAATAGTGGCTTCCATATTTTGGCCAACTTAATCAGACGAGGCCTGGAAAAATTCAAAATGTAATTTACTGCAAATGAACAAAAACGTCACCAGTGGCAAACCGTCCATCCACAACAGCACAGAAACACAAAATCCAATTGGTCGCCGGCCAATACTTTTGTATGTACCTGTTTTAATAAAACTCACTTGGGGTCATACACTGAGCCAGCTGACCATTTGGTTCATTATTCTCTCTTGATTTGGTCCCATATAGGAGCAAAAGGAGTATCATTCCATCTTAAAATAGTTTTTTTCTATGGAGCCCTCTAAAGCTAATACCGTGGGAATAGTAAAAAATTCTCCTTCCCCGCGTACAACTCGTAAGACCTTGAAATTCCTCCGAGCGGGTTCAGGATTATTTTTTCCAGAAAATGCAAAGGATAATAAACCAAACCATCCATTACTACTTGAGTTACCCTATCTAAGGATCAAACCAAAGACACAAAGCCAACAAGGTAAAAAATGATACCCTTTTTGAGGTTCGAGATCCTCAGCGGTACTTACCTACCTAGCCCATACATGTATATGGGATTATCCCCCCCACCCCGAAGACTTCACGTGTCACGTTCGTCAAGTGATTAATTAAGGCAAAAAAAATTTATAACGGAAGATATGCATGTTTGACCAAAAGAAAATAATCTAAGTTTATAACAAAGTGAGGTGGAATTATTACAAATTGCGACAGCTTAGTTCATTACAAATTGCGATGGACAGTTATTACAAATTGCGACAGCTTTTTTATTACAAAGTGCGACCCAGTTTATTACCAGTCGCGACAGGTATTACAATGCCATGGATTTATTACAAATTGCGACAGTTATTACAAAGTGCGATGGTTATTACAAATTGCGACAGTACAACATCTCTATTCATGGGACACTTGCCTTAGTCCCGAGGGCGTCTCCTGAATAGAAGGTCAACCCCTACAGAGAAAAATGTAATCCTTAGTCACAGTACTTCTAGACGTTAGAAAACGTTGGAGACGTTGAACTTAGCTCAATTTCACATCAGCTTTCTCTTATTGTAATACTCTTTGTCTGTAGAATGTCCAGTGGTATCCAGACTCACTAAGAATGGTACCCTGTTAAGTTGACAGTAGCCTCGAGACCTTTGGCCAATGCTTCTTTTTTCAATAGCAGCAGACTTGCACTCAGTCAAACGAGAACAGTATAACAAACATTCCATCACTGTGGAGGCTTTGTATGTGACAATTAGGTCGTCTTGTTGCTGTTGTCCGGACGCCGTGACAGTTTCAAAATGGCCAAAGATGAATATGGAATCTTCTTGATCTATAAATTTAGAAACAACAAAAACGACCGTTTATAATGTTATTTTATCGGTCTAAAACAAACTATAACTACTACTTCCCTACTGCTGATGCTGCTGCGAACTGCTGCGGTTGCTACTACCAATACTACCAAGCAACTAAAAGACTAATAATATAATGATGATGATGATGATATACTGCACTTGAGCTCCACCGAGTTGTCTCTCCCCTGGTATCATCCTTTTCGGACTTCTTTTAAACAAGCTTACAGCTGAGCTTAGTTCCGGCTAGGTAGCGTCCTGCAAGTTACAGAACTCGTTTTGCTTTACACATTGATTTCCTGTCAATTGTTTCATTTTAGACCCCCTTAACTCAAAAGAAAGTCTGTTTGGTACTTCTCCATTAAAAAGGAAATTTACAGAAAAAACGAGTGGATCAGGAAGTATTTTTGCAAAATAAAGTGGCACCAAGGATCGGAAATTTGGTTCCAAAACGTTGCAGCCCAGTCTGAAAAAGCCTTTTGGCTTACAGTATTACCAGAGGCACCTTAAGGGATTAAGAAAAACTAGTAATCATGATAGGCTTAAGCCGCTAACGCCGAACTCACATGTGTTCAAAGTTCTGTTCTGGACAGCGATGATTTCCTGTTGACTGAGTGATTTGTTGTAAATCTGAAGACAGCAGATGCGACCTTTTAAGTACCTTGGGTCTGTGGTGCTGTCTTTAGCTCCCATCCGTACATTGTACTGGGTACTTTGTTCTTCGCTTCCAGATGTTGCCTGAGCCACCTCAGATCCGTTTATCCAAAGCCTTACGATGCCAGACGAAAAATTATATGAGGTACCAACGTAGTGCCAGTTTTTCGAAAGTTTATAGGGCGTATCAGCACATTGTAAACTTTCGAGAGCGCGTTTAGAAGGTCGAGCATACAACCCTCCATTTACAATCCAGAAGTGAAATCCCCAGACATCTGTCCCGTAGTTTACTATCGGCCCATTTTCGTTTTCGCGGTTGATCCAGGCAAGAATTGTTATTGAGCATCTCGTGTCCAGGCCACCATTGTTGGGTATCTCGATGTAACTGGAAAAGCTACCAGAAAACCTGTACGAACCTTGAGGATTTCCAAAGGGACCTGGTGCAAAGCGTGCGCCGTTTGGTATTCCAGGTGGGTTTTTGTTAGGGCTGATGTCACGTGTCCCGTGTAGACCATTGAGTGGATACAAAGCAGCAGGAATTGGGAGTTCTTCTGCTAGGAGAAATCAAAAAACATAGTAATTAGAGAAACGTTTAGAATAACCTATCCCTCAATCTTATTGGAAAAAAATTCATCCATCACTAGAAGCAGCTGACATGACTTGATGACAAATTCGATCTCAAGAAACGGCGAATTTTACATTTTACGAAAAGATAGCGGGGCCACAGGATCATCGTATCTAAATGTTAAAAACGGTCTCTGGCTAAAAATGTCCCAAAAAAATACAAGCTTTCGATCACCTGAACTGCTGTTTTCAACGGGCGAAATGATTTGAAAATGAAAAATTCTAAAATGTAGTGTTTTAAAAATGCAGTTGAATAAAATAGAATAAAAATTATTCAATATTTCATTAAAAATTTTTGTTAAAAAGAACACTTTATTGCCTCTGGATAAGGCAAGAATTATTGTCCACATTAGGTGTTTACGTACTGTGCCAGGATTCCAAAAACGTTCTAACGCAATAATTGCCTTTGTCAATAATGAAGGCGTTGTCATAATCAATATCGAGGTTGTGGGACCAAGCATGATCGGCGATCCTGAATCCTTTAACCGCAGTTTTTACATTGTTGAGACACGTGTTCTTTTTTCGTTGTAGTGAATGATCTGCCAATTTCTCCAATATAGCTTCAAGAGCAGTTGCCGCATGGAATTTTGTAGACAACGTCAGGTTGCAGATCCAAGAAGGGGTTGTGACTTTGGAGTCGAGGATTGGCGGCTAAAGGCTCAAGGATCGCCAATCATACGCCTAAGATAAGAGCTTCGGCCAGCCTCGTTTTCGTGCGGCATCAAAAAGACATCTAAGAAGTAGTCAATAAAAAATTGTAAAAAATTTCCAAACTAATATTTTAAAAGGCTAGTTTCCGAGCGTAAACAGTTAAATGCTTTCTGTTGCAGTTAGTTGCAGGTTCACTTATTTTTATAAACTTGACTCAGTGGACTATTAAATGCGGGAATGGGAGTTAATCAGACGGCAAAAAATATTGAAAAAATATTTCTCAGAGTGAAAAATAGTGTGATCAACCAATTAAGATGGCATGGAATATAAAGTGAAGTCGCATTTTGGATTGACTATGACTCAGCTCAGTCGCTCTCGTCATGATTTTATATGACACCATATCTCGTAATGACAGAAACCAATTTTTACAATGCTTTCTTGTGAGGAGCTATAAAGAGCTATCAAAAAAATGCTGTGACAAAATGTTCAAAGAAGAAAAAAAAAACCAGCAATAAAGTGCGAAAAAAAACCTTTTGGGATGATCTTAGGTGAATAACTGAAACTTCTCTAAGAATCATGAATTTATATTGGCCGGTGAACTTAACGTTTTTGAGCCAATTGATATTGATATTTTAGTTAGGAATTTATCCTCTTATCTTACTGGGTAACAGTCTCGGTTTTGGCCGATCCTAGTGCTGTGACAACAGATACATAACTTTCGCCATTATCTTCTTTTTACCTGTCTTGGTTTGAGAACACAATATCAGGGAGATGACAACCTGGAAAAGCCGTAACGAACAATGTTAAAATGGAGTTATCTTTATACCTGCTACAAACAATGTTGTCATTATTTTTTTTCTCCCTTACCTCCAACAGCCACATTGAATATATGAAAATATATGAGTATCTCAGTTAAGTGAGTTTTGCTCAGAAATACCTTATTTTTAAACGTGACTCAGATCTGTCCGAAACCCTCGAGACTTGTCTACTCACCAGTTGAGAGTACTCAGTTAGGTTTTCATTTTAGGTTGGAGCCCACTGAATAAAATCCATCAACAAAACAAAACAAACTAAATTATATTACTGCATTAGCAGTTATTACTATTTATTTTAGAATTGGCATTCGTCCTGATCATATTAAAAAAGCAAGAACACAGGAGTTTGGCCTTCACGAACTACACTTTTACCTCTTTTCAAAACACTGACATTCTGGAAAATAACATCAGATAAAGTGCTACTACATCCAGTTACTATTTCTGAAAAAAGGATTCTAAAAAATTAGTAATCAACATGATCAATTTCAATCTAACACTTTCTAAACTTATGCAAATAGAAAGCACAACTAATGGTGCAATGACTGAAGTTATTAACTGGCATTTTTATGCCTTTCCCTTATTGACTCTTTTTCTTAAGACCCTCAGTGGCCCGGAACCCTAATAATTTTCATTGTCAGGAGCTGGGCAAACAACCCCATTAGAAAGGATCTATGCATCCGGTTAAGTCAGGTGGTGCAGAAACACCCCATGGAGCGCTTAAATGGCACTGGGACAAGACAAACAAAGAGCTTACACCATGGAATATGAAATAACTATTACTAACTTTCTCAAAAAAAAAAATGTAGTGGTTCTTTATTAAGCAGAAATTGTGAGATGCAAAGGCTATGGAGGTGCCGCAAAAATGGTAAAATTAATAATCCGTTTATCCTATCACAAGACAAAAGGTAGACACACTGCATCACTTTCTTGAGTACCGAAATAAACAACTTCAAGGATCTGAGAAAAGACACACTTTATCCAAGCGACAATCAGAACGAAAGTTCTTATTGAGTCCTACTGAAGACGGGACTGCCATTTTACGTGGTGTCCCGAGCCACGCGAAAGTTTAGCTCCAGGGAAGGCAGTACCTTCATTGCTCATTCATTTTATAAACCTAAGTATTGGTCCGGTCTAATAGTAATTGGTTGCACACGAAGCACTTAGGTCTTAAGAATCCGTTTTAAACGTGTTCATCCGTTCCAGATCGAATTGGACTCTACAAGAGGGGGTTATTTGAGATGAGGAGAAAACCGGAGTACCAAGGGAAAAAATTCTCGGAGCAAGGAAGTGAACAAACAAGAAATACAATCCTCATACGACATCGCTGTCGCGATTTGAACCACAATAATAATAACAATACACATTAATGTGAGGTAACTACTACAGTCTCAGGCAAAATTTGGTGAGTTACCTGTGATAAACAACATGGGGAGGGAGAGGAGACGGGTAAGAAGGAAAAAAAACAGCGTTCAGTGGAAGTGTCCCTATCCCTCTCTCCACGACATAAAGTAACAACTGAATAGGATGTCAGTCATAGAAGACTGCTTGTCTTCATGATCAGTGGTATAATGTCTACAATGACACTTACTACCGGGACTCAGTGATAAAACAGTCTCTTGGGTAGCAATGGCAGCTAATGGCGACCGTAACCACAAGGTCAAAATAAAAAGAAACTATAACTGTACGAATAAGGTTTAGGTGCTGATCATTATAACATATAGTGGAAGCTGTCCTTGCGACCACTCTAGTAAACGACCAGCTCTAGTTACGACCACCTTTGTGAAACCCCGTTTGAAGTGTGGCTTGAACTTTGTAATGAAAAGCTCTCGAAAGCGACCACTACCGTAAGCGACCACGAACACCCTTGGGATCACCCGACTAGACTTTTCCGTTCTTTTTAAGCGCTCGTAAGAGCCCATTCAGAGTCATTCTTGTGCTAATTCTTAGATTTGCGATTATTCTGGTCTAAAAACAAAACTGAATTGTTTATTTGTTTTTTCGTAGAGGAGAGTGTCCCAAAGGGATTCATCGATGGCTGCGTTTTTGCTAATTTTTGACAATTTGATGCAGGCTCTTACGGCGGACTACAGGAAAAATCATTTAACCTTTCAAATTTTTAACTATTCGTGTTTTTCCACTGCAACCACAAAATGAAATACAGCTGCTATCAAGATTCCCCTGTTATTCGAGACTGGTTTGTTTATTTTGTTTTTCGGCTGAGGAAAGCGACGCCACGGGATTTAACGAAAGTGATTGTTGAACAGGCAGGGTCTTACAGCAGAGTACAGGAAAGGTTCTGACCTGCAAGGCCGAGTGAGCATGAATAATTTTTGCAGTTTTGTCTCATTTTAGTTTGGTTGTAAAGTCGGGCTTAATTATTTCATGTCATGACTTGAGGCAAAGACGATGTCAATTGCCTCGCGTTAATAATACACCAGTTAAATTGATTTTCTGGTTGTAAATGGAAAGAAAAATTTGTTAGAGAATACCTACAAGTTCTAGTGATTGCCGATAAAAAGTAAGGATAATTACCGAAAGTCTTGCCTCGAGGCTCGTTCATCTATTTCAAAAGCCACTCAGGCTAAACAAACTAACAAACAAAAAGAAAACGCAAATTTTCGGAAACATTTCATTCACTCTACTTACTGTCTTGAATAAAAAGTGTTGTTGTTGTACATGTCTCATACGTTTTGTTCATGTTTCGATTGTCAGTAATAATTTTGTAACGGGTTGAGCTTTTCTTTTTTCCTTTCGCGGACCGCGTCAGGTTTTAACCTCACGCTTTAAAAAGCGTGAGTGAAATGTCTGAAAATGGTTTAAGCATGGCGTGTAATTTTCCCCTGTGTTTACAAATTAGAAAAGATTCTAAAACGACTACGAGAACGAGATTTTCCCAAAGTAGAGTGCGCTCGCGCGAAGCATCGTCATTTTGGCGGGAAAATGCGATAGCCATTGTCATTCTACAACGAGTTTTAGCGAGAATGTCGTAGTGGCGAAAAAAAGTTATCAAATGTTAGGAATTTTATCATTTAGCGATCGGGCGAGAGCTTTAACCTCCTTCAACGGAAATAAGCGTACTGACTTTTGGTGAAAAACAAGTACAATGATGCTTTCCGGGGTGCCTGTTTTTAGAGAACAGGCGAAAAAACTCAAAATAAAATGTTGTCCTCGTCCACGAATCTAAAGCTCTTTGTCAACTCATTTTGTTCATTCTCGCCGAAAAGAAAGTATATAAGCGATTTGTGGATTACTTTACCCACAAAATAACTTCGCCTTTTTGTGGTACATACTATTGTTACTGCGTTGTTACGTTTATAATTTATAGTTGTTGATGTCGCAACCCGGTTAGCTCAATGGGATAAGCGCCGGTCTGCTGAGCGGGAGGCCGTAGGCTTTGTAATAACATCTGCAAACAGTTAGACTTTCTGGTCGTCTCGGATAAGGACGATAAACCGTAGGCCCCGTCTCACAAGC